CAGGTCCCCACCCCCAAAAAAAATCCTCACTTCTCTGACAAGTTCTTTCTTATATGTCATGCTTATTTGTACTTGCAAACTTGTTTTTTTCTTAATATTTTTATGCCACTCCTCTCTTGAATATTTTTGAAATATCATCTTGTAAGTATATGCATTGAAATTAATTATTTAGCAACAATAATAACTCGAAATGCAAATAAGAAAAAAATATGTCTGCCCCACTGTCTCATTCTGCCTCTCTCTCTCACCCTCTCTCTCTCTGTCTCACCCTCCCTCTCTCTCTCTCTCTCTCTCTCTCTCTCTCTCTCTCTCTCTCTCTCTATCGCCCGCTCCCTTTCATCCCTTTTCTTCTGCACTGCAGCGAACAAAGAAGAAATGAAATTCGGCACGTATTAAAAAAAAAAAAACCCAAAACACAACAACAACAAAAACACTTGTGCATGCTGCCTCTTTTTTTCTCTCCTGCTCTCTCCTCGTTCATGTACTCGAATTTATTGTATATGTGTGTGTATGTATTTATTTTGAGGTTTCCACAAATTTTTATGTATTGACTGTGGTTGTTGTTGGCTGTGTGATCCCCATGCGACAGCGGAGACAATAACACGATCCCCCAGTCCCCGGCAGCAGCAGCAGCAGCAGAAATTTCGACTCTGGCTGAAGCTTCACATTTCTTTTTACACACACACACACACTCACAAGTTTGTTTTCGGATTTCTTTTCTTTACATTTCTCAAAAGCACATACACATATATGCATGTATGTATGTGTGTGTACATTGAGCTTTTCGTAGGTTGTTGACCCTTTTGGGTGGCGAGCGCAGAACGAGGTTGGTTGCTTTGTCGCCGCTTCAATTTGCGCTGAGCGCAGCGTCTTTTCTTAGTGATATTTTGTAATTTGTTTGCTAACTGTAACTACCCAAAAAAAAGTCCATCATATGCACTATTTCTGAATATTTAACGGGGCTCCAAAAAAAAGTATGCAACGCAAATTTTGCAACACACACTTATATATAGAAATATCACATAGAAACCGAGAAGTGCACTGCGCTGCCGGCGTCAGCAATGGCAGCGCTGCTTACGCCAACGCGAGCGTCAACTGCAGACAGCGCTGAGCGTTGGCAGAATCACAACGCGTTCTTTTCTCTCACACTGCTGCTCGCTTGCATATCGGCTGCTCGTCGTGTGCTTCACTCGTTTGTCATGAACTTGAACTACACGTGGAGGGCGTGCAAGTGTTTTCAACAGCACATTGCCTGGTGGTTGTTGTCGCCTTACGTACGCTCTGCTGAGGCCGTGCATGAGTTTTCGACAACAGCAGTAGCAACAGCAGCAGCAGCGAGCAAGTAATGCGCAACTGTCGTTGTATGCATGCGTGTATGTGTGAGTTGTATGTGCAGTGAGTAAGCAGACTGCTGATTGCAGGCAGTGTAAGTGTGTGAGTGTGTGTGTGTGTGTAGTTGCTTGCTGTGGGCGACTGGGAAGGTGACCGTAAAGAGTGGCTGCCAAATGAAAGGGAAGCGCTTGCGAAAGTGAATTTCTCCCTGGCGGGGGTTGTTTTATTTTTTATTTTTGCAGCCTTGATTTCCTTTTGCCTACTACCTTGACATGGAAATATTTAATTTCACAAAACGGAAACCAAACAAGAAAAAAAACAGCTTGTTACAATGACAAACTGCGTCAGAATTGACGTGCATAAAAAGTGTTAAGTCATGCTCCTATGCGAATCTAATATTAAAGTTATTATTTTAATTTGCACACGCGCCGCAAAGCAGCAACTACTACATATATACACAGATACAAACATATACACATACTGTATAGAACATATCAGAAGCTCTGCTCTGCTCTGCTTTGGGTCGCGTTGCGTTGTGTCGCCTCTCGCTGCCGGCGTCGTTTTGACCTAGGCCAACTGACTGACTGTGCTATGTGTATGTATATGTATATGTATGTATATATATATATATATATATATATATATATATATATATATGTAAGTATATCTACCCTCCTCTCTCACTCTCACTCTCTCTCTCTCTCTCTCTCTCTCTCTCTCTCTCTCTCTCTCTCTCTCTCTCTCTCTCTCTCTCTCTGTACCTTTACACATGTATATTTGCGTGTAGGTGGCCACTGCTGACGCCTCTGCGTTAATCTCTTCGTCTAGACCTTCGCAATTTGTTGTGGACCATTCGATGGGCACATCCTTTTTGTTTTTGTTTTTGTTTTTTATCGAGCGAGAACGAAATGAATCAAACCATTTGATTAACCGTTTGGATTTTGAATGAAGTTCTTTGCTGAACTGAAAGCTTTTCACATTTAAAGCTTTTCAAGCTCAGTATTCAATGAATGAATTTAATTATAAATTCTATTCAATATAAATGACACGTGTCAAAATTGTATACTCAGAGGCATTTTATTTCTGGAATATGCGAGCAGAGTGAATTAAAATTAAATGCCAGGTATTCTAATTTTATGCTCAGTTTTATAATTTCTGGAATATTCGAATTGCCAGAGCTTTCAACAAAAAAACAACTTGCGTGGGTATTTCAAAAAGAAAAGAAAAAAGAGGAAACACATGACAAGTAAAGATTTCGGCGTCACACGTATTTTTTTAGTTTGTGTAAAATGCCACACGTTTCGCTTATCAGTATCAATATCTTATCGGTCATGCGACATTTTAGGTATGTCCCTGAATGGCTTCCGCAACAGCCAACATTTCATTCAATATTATTGCATTTTTTTTACAGTTTTAACGAGAGATTTTATCTTATCACAACGTAAACCTAAAAATACTGATGAAAGACGAACAAGCACAGAATTTTTGTAATTGATACTCGCCGTACAAATAGCTCCAAAATATGTTGCGCGTAAGCAAATCGCAGTGGGAGAGAGAGGGAGAGGGAGACAGTAAAAGAGAGAAAAGCTCACAAAATGTTCATTGACCTCCCAAAAAAAAAAAAAACAAAAAAAAAAAAGAGGCAGCAGTAAAACGATGAATAACGTCAAGTTGTAGCTGTCTCTATAGATACTCGAAGCTATTTACATACATGTACATACATAAATACACATACATATGTAAATTGGTCTATTTGTATATTTGTAGAGGTGTGTTCTTGAGGGTCTTGGTCTTGGTCTGGGTCTGGGTCTGGGCTCTTTGCAAGGGGCACTCACTAATTTATGGATGGTGTGACTTATGCGTGGCCTCCTCCTGAACATTTATTGCATATTCTAAGTAGAGTAATACGTGATAAATATTAAATATATACAAATTACACATACAATTATGCATACAAAACAGATGGTTATTAAATCGAAATAAAGCTTCTGCTAAAATGACGCCTTAAGTTCATAATTATCCAAGGATATTAGGATCTTAGACAAATATTTGAGTTTTATTTCATATTTTCTTCATAATCATCTTTTTTCAAAAACTTCGGCATCATTTTGAAAAAAATGTTTAAAATTTTAGTCAATTCGTTATTATGATTTTAAATTTCGGCTTATTTGTTTATCGATTATCTATAAAATAATACAAATGAAATAAATTTCATCTATCACATCGCTCTCTCTTTCTCTCTCTCTTTATCTCTCTCTGTCGCTCCTCCTCTTTCCCACTGCATTGCTTTACTGATCTATCCAATACAACAACGAACTCACCTCAGACAACGCTCGATGTTTTTTTTTTGTTTAAGACAAGTTTTAAAGCGTTGCGTTGCGCTCCATTTCTGAGCTATCCCAACAAAATAACGGTAAACACACAGCTCGATTTCAAACGAAACATACAAGCATTTCCCATACGATTGTGTTGGGTTGAGGGAGGGGAAGGGGGAGGGGTGGATCTCAGATCTGAACGATCATTGACCGAGCTCGTTGTGCGCTCGTCGTGCTTTTAACCTCATAAATAGATAAAAATTTAGCTTGTTGTTGTTTCTTCTTTATTCTTTTTTTTTCATCTTCTTTGGTTTACCTTCAGCAAGTCCAAAGCGGCGCATTGTGTGCTTATGAAAGAGCGAAAGAGACAGAAAGAGAGGCAGCGATCAGTAGAATACATGCACATACATGTACGTGTATATGTGTGCATATGTCTTTAATTTCGTTTCAACAGACAAACGAAAATAGTTTTTGTGTCGAATGTTAATGAACTTTTGCGCCAGTTTAACGAATTGTGTGAGGCGCACTGTCGAACATAACAAACAACAACAACAACAAGAAACTTGAAAAAGTTTTTTGAACTTGTGTGCAATAGAAGAACCAAAAACAAAAAAAAAAATAATAAAAAACGTTTAATTTACCATTGAATCTTTCATGCTTTTTGTGCTTTTCATTGTTTGAGTTGTCGAAGGTAAAACACAAATCATAAAAATATAGATTTGTAAAAATTAAGATGACAGCTTTTAGTTTTTCTCTAAGACTGCATTTTACAATTAAAACTGGCTTATAGTGATCAATTTATTTATTATTGAGATAACATTTTATTCCTTCGACAATTTGAAATGAGTTGAATGCAAAAATGAATACAATTTCTAATCTCAAAATGCTATTGTGTTAGGCCCATCCAAATCATATCTTATCAATCAACTGATTTGCAAAAATATTCACAATTTACATAGTCACTCGAACTATTTTGGCCTTATCAATCGCTTAGTATAAATGTACCCACCATATATTTATATATATGTATATTTTATTCTTATATATGTGGAGGTATTATTTAGATTAATATATCAAATTCTGCATGACTCAGTAGAAAATCAGAAATTTCTTGTTTATCAATATGATAAGATTACAATTATTCGTTCGCTTCTGCGATGACTCATAGCATTCATATTATATTTCTTACATGGTTTATGCTCAAACAAGACAGCACTCATAATAATAATTTCCCACTTACATACAAAATACTCACACTCAGCTCAAATTAATTCCCACTCATTATTGGAGGGAAAAAAAATAAAAATACAGAAAATACTCAGTGGGAAATTTGTGGGGACATTTTTCTTAGTCTCACAGATCAATGGGCTCAATTTTGGTGGTGGTGGTTTGGTTTGGTTTGGTTTGCTGCCGTTGATTTCTGGGTTTGGGTTCTCGGCCTATTTTTCGGCAACTCACCCACCAGTCTCCGGTGCACCATCAAGCGTACAACTTCGCGTGCGGCAATGTGAACTCTGCACTCGCTTCTCCGTTGTGCGTGTGTGTGTGTGTGTGCGAGTGTGTGTGTGTGTGTGGTTGTGTGTGCCCGAGTGTTAAGCTCTAAAATGACCGATTTCTCAATGAACGATATCTTGAGATCATTTAGAAAAATGCGCATGAATAAGGGCTCGGCTCAAGGCTCCAGTCACCTGAATCCACACCACCAGCAACATCATCATCATCATCACCACCATCATCATCACCAGCAACAGCCCCAAAACTTTCAGCACTATCCACAGGCGACCGGCGTCCAGCAGTCCAAAGATTTGAAAAAAATTATCAAAATTCTTAAAAAGCATGTCATCAAACAGAAAATCACGCGAAAAATGAAAATTGTCGTTTAAAAACAGCCGAAAAAAAAACGCAAAAAAAGTTTTAAGTGAACAAAAGAAAAAATCATTTGAATAAAATGTCATAAATAAAATATAAATAAATTACGCATAGAACTCAAGACTGCAGCTATTAAATAAACTCAGGACTGATTTACAGTACAAAAAAAAAGTCTGACAAGAGTTTTTTGACTACCTCATATAAACAAAAAAAAAAAAAACGAGAACTTTCCTAAAGAATTTCCTAAACACAAATCAAAAGATCTCAGTATAAAAACAAAGAAATAAACTTTAAACTAAAAACTAAGACTAATTATGGACTGCATTTAAATTAGACTGCGCAAAAGAAAAGAAGAAAATTCAAAATCAACAAATTTTTACAACTCCAATTGGGAAATTGTTATACAAAATACATATACAAAATGACTGAACGCACCAATGAGAAAAAGACTTGGACAACCAAGCCAAATTGGATAAAGGATGCACTCAACAAGTCGGGCACGGAATTGGTGGATATATCCAAGACCAAAACTAAAGCAGCACAAAAGAAAACGAATGCAAAAGGTAAAAGAAAAGTGAAAACCAACGCAAGGAAAATTCAAGAAACAGGCCGGAAAAACTTTGCCAAAGACCCCAACTCCATACGCCATTTTGTTTTGGTATACGCAGTTTTTCCTGCTGCTGGTTGGGGGGACGGGGGGAAAGAAACGGGGCGCGTATTTACAGTCAATGAAAATAACAAACAACAAAAGAGAGACTGTGAGGGAGACAGCAGAGTGAGAGAGAGTCTAAATTTACCGGCTTGCAAGCTACAGGATGCAAAAAAAAAATATCCCAAAAATCCGGGAAATTTCACAACACCCCAACAGTTCATCCTAATGCGTAGTTGCGTATCTCATTCCCTGTCTCTCTCTCTCTCTCTCTCTCGCTATCCGCCCCTTTGCCCACAAAGCTTATGCGTTTTTCTTTTTTCGTGAAAACTTGGGCCGGCAATAACAGAAAATTGCGTAGTTCAAGTGCGTAGGGTGGTTTTTCCGAGTCCAGAGTGCTTACTGCTTTTCCAGCAGGGGGAAAACCCCAACCCCTAATGGGTTTTCCCAACCACCCAAGACTATAATGCGAGGCTACCTTTTGGGCTTTTGCGTTGTTACTCATCGCTCGCTGGGTTCTTCGTGGAAAAATGCGTAATGCAGGTTGTCAAGTTCTCGCATGAAACAGAAACGAGTTGGTGGGAGGAGGGGGAGGGGGGGAGTGGGTGTTGGTAAACTACATATGAACGTATGTAATTTTTGATAGTGAAAAAGACCTCACCAAACTCGTCAAATTGTCCACTCATTGTTAAGTGCACAAAATAAAATATTTATGATTTTCTTTGAAGTGCATAAAAAATGTGATTATTGTTTTTATTGTTTAGAAATATTTTTGGACTTATGATTAAAGTCTTCAAATCTATTCTTTCAATTTAGCTTTTAAATAGTTTGATAATTTTCTTAAGTTGATTCAACTAAAAAAATTTTGTGTTGATCCTGAGTTTGCAAGAGTTTGATAATATTCTTAAGGTGTTTCGACTGAACAATTAACAAATACGACACTGTTGTCAAATTTAGTTTAATTATTTTCGAAAATAATGAATTAAAGTTTTGAAGTGTTTACAACTAGAAAACTTTACATTTTGTGCAAAGCAGATTGAATGTTTTGTTTTAATCAAATTTGTTTAACCACAATTTTTAAACAAGTTTTTGCAAAATCAGAATTTTAAATTACAAATTAAGATTTTTATTGGAATTATTTGTGATAAAAAAAATAAAAAAAATCTTTCGCACAACTTAACGACAATTTAACAATGAACAAATTTAAACCATAAAATCATGCAATAATTTTTATATCATTAAACTCTTAAAATCGTTTTCATGTTGTTGACTCATTGATCAATTTAAATTAAAGAAGTATGTGAGCTTAAAGAATTAATTATAGTATTAAGATGATTTCTTAGAATACGTATGAGAATTATTTCTTACATATAAATATTTGTTTATATTTAGTTGTATTTTTTATTTACTGATTAATTATTATTATTATTTTGAAACATTTATTTTCTAGTAATTCTTTTATTTATATTTCTAAACGAAAGAGTTCTTATTGCCTTTACTAATCGCTGCTTATTCTATTCTAATTAATATTGTATCACAGATTCATCCACAACCAACATGGTCTACTATTCCGCTAATCAGCTGCTTATAAAGACGGAGCAACCCAGTCAGACGCAGTTCTGCCTGCAGGCGCCACTGACTGCAGCGACTGGTGGCGGTATTGGCGTTGCGCCACCTAGCGGTCAGCATGAGCACTACGAGCTGTTGCAGACGCCACAACAGCGACAATTGCAGATGCAAGAGCAACAACAGCAGCAGCAGCAACAACAACAGCAACAGCAAATTGTCAATTATCAACTGGTACTGCAACAACAACAACAACAACAACATGATAGTATTACAATTACAACAACAACAACAACTGGAGCAACAACTACAGCAGCAACAACAACAACACAGCAGCGCATTAAAACCGAGCTGCCTATGACGTATGTGGGTGGTGCTGCTGCCACAACGAAAGCGGCCACAGTTGCCACGGTCCGCAAGCCGAACGGCAACAAGCCGCAGTTCAAGTGCGAGCAGTGCGGCATGACCTTTGGCAGCAAGTCCGCTCACACTTCGCACACAAAATCGCATGCCAAGAATGCTGATCTCGCCATGGGTCTGAAGAGTGTCGCCATTGGTGGCGCCTCCTCCTCCTCCTCCTCCACATCCTCCATCACCTCCTCCGCACCGATTGAGCTGAACGAGGCCGGTCTGCCGCTGGGCATACCCAAGAGTCCGACCATCAAGCCGCTGGCCAATGTCGCCGCTGGCGCCGATCCCTATCAGTGCAATGTGTGCCAGAAGACGTTCGCGGTGCCCGCCCGATTGGTAAGTACTTGCCACTAGAGTGTGTGTGTGTATGTGTGTTTAAATGGAATTACAAATATTTAAAGATGTAACACGAGAAAAGCAAATAAAAATAAATTTTAAAAAATTAATAAAAGTATACAACAAATAAATAAAATTGAACCTAAATTTAAAAGAATAATTTTTGTAAATATTGAGTAGATATCAAAGTAAAGAATATTTATTTTTTATTAGTTTTCGTTTAAGTAAAAGAAATTTTTCTCTTTAAAAATGTAGAGGAATTTATATTTAAAAGAAATTAAATGTTTTTGCAACATTAATTGTATTTGTTAATATTTTTTTGCTGGTTTTTTTGCTAATCTTAAACCTCTTGGGAATTATACTTGATTGTCAGCTTCATTTTTTTAATTTTCCTTACACTTTTGATATCAATTCAATTAGGATAGAACAATAAGTTAAACTGAGGTATTTTGTTAAAATTACTAACAATAAGAAGAAGTAGAATAAAAAAAGTGAGAAGAATATAAACTTCTTTAAAAAAGAATATAAACTTCAAAAAAAATAATGCCGAACCGCAATTTAAATTTTGCAGATCCGCCATTATAGGACGCATACGGGGGAGCGTCCGTTCGAGTGCGAGTTCTGCCACAAGCTGTTCAGCGTCAAGGAGAATCTGCAGGTGCATCGACGCATCCACACCAAGGAGCGACCCTACAAGTGCGACGTGTGCGGCCGGGCATTCGAGCACTCCGGCAAACTGCATCGCCATATGCGCATCCATACGGGCGAACGGCCGCACAAGTGTTCCGTCTGCGAGAAGACCTTCATCCAGTCCGGCCAGCTGGTCATCCACATGCGCACCCATACCGGCGAGAAGCCCTACAAGTGCCCGGAGCCCGGTTGCGGCAAGGGATTCACATGCTCCAAGCAGCTCAAGGTGCACTCGCGGACGCACACCGGCGAGAAGCCGTATCATTGCGACATATGCTTCCGGGACTTTGGGTACAATCATGTGCTGAAGCTGCATCGGGTGCAGCACTATGGCGCCAAGTGCTACAAGTGCACCATTTGCGATGAGACGTTCAAGAACAAGAAGGAGATGGAGGCGCACATCAAGGGCCATGCCAACGAGCTGCCCGAGGATGAAGTGGAGGCGGCGGTGGCAGCAGCTGGCGTTGCCACAGCAACCAGTGGCGGCTCCTCCTCGTCCATGGCCAGCAATTCGGAGAGCAGCAACAATTCGCCGCCCAGTTCACCGCCGGCGGTGAAGAAACCACGTCAGCCACGTGGCCCCAAAGCTGCAACAGCTTCAGTTTCAACTTCAGCATCAGCTGCTTCTGCTGCCGGTGCCAGTGCTTCCACTGCTTTCACTGCTCCATTCTCGCCCAGCTCTGCATCGTCCACATATTCGCCGGCGAGCAGTGCTCTGGCCTCACCGCCACCAGCACAATATCTGAACAATAATATCTCAGCCAGCGAGCCGGACGCACTGAGTCGGGATAGTGGCGTTGCCAGCGCCCAACTCCAGCCCAGCTATGCGGATGAGGAGCTGCCCACGGATCTGAGCATGCAACAGCCGCCGACGCAGTCCCCAATGATCTACTATCAGCCACAGACCAGTTTAGTCGAGCTACCGGTCCAAGCACCCACAAGCACGACCTGCAATCCTGCAATTCCCCCCACTCCTGGCCTCACCATCAATCCGGCGCTGCTCGAGGCGGCCAGTTTGGCGCGTCGCGATCACAGCGAGGACAACGACGAGGATGTTCAGGCAGCTGCCTGGCAAATGATGCAACTGCGTCGTGGTCATGCAGCCACGCCCACAGCCCAGCCAACGCCCACGCCTATGGCTACGGTAGCACAGCCGCCAACCCAAAGCCAGCCCACGTTGCATGTCAGCGATCTGGCGGCCAACTACGATGACACGCACGAGGCGAACGTGCTCATCGAGCACTTCAAGCGCGGCGATCTGGCGAGGCATGGACTCCACAAGGGCTATGCGCCGGTGCCCAAATATGAGTAAGTATTCCAACTACAGAGATTCTATCTTTAAGTCAGACTTTTACAAAAGAAACAACAATTTACTTTATTTTTTTATTTTACTTTACTCAAATCAGAAAGCAAAAAACAAATGTCTTTAAATATTAACAACTTTAATTCGATTTACTGCAACTTGCCAATTGCAGAGCTTTTTGAATTTAACATTTCTTGGCGCGCTCTAAAAACCACAATTGTAATTCGCAAAAGGTGGCAACTCTGAAACAACAATCAGCTGTTAAACAAACCATTTGAGTACGAAGTGAAAACTTGAAATGCATAAATAATTATTTGCATTTGTGTTTGAAATTTACACTTTAAAAAATGCAAATACTTATTTTTTACATTAAACTAAATAATAAAAAGAGTTATTAACTGCTGCTTGAGCAACACTACGCAGATTGAGTAAATAAGTAGTTATTTAATTTGATTATTTATTGCAACGATATTCATAAATTTCGTTCTGCGCTTACAGATCTGCCCTGCCCAATCCGGATATTGTGCGTCGCGTCGAGGCTGCGATTGGACTGCGCTCCAGCACCGAGTCACCGGAGCGCAGCTCGTCGCCGGAGAGCGATTCACTGATGATGGCCGATCGGAATGTGATGACGCTGCCGCTGCGCAAGCGCAAGCATTATATGAACGAGGGCGAATCTAGCAATGGAGGCGGCGGGTGCAGCAGCAGCAGCGGCGGTGGCGGCGGCGTCGGTGGCAACAACAGTGCAACAGGTGCTAACGATGGCGCCACAACGAGTGGCACAACGGATGCAGCGAATAACGCCAGTGCCGGCTCCAAGGTGATGCGCTTGAACTCTGTCATCCAGTTTGCCAAGGCCTCGTAGTGTGGACTGTGTGGGCTTCAAGCCGCCATCAATCAGCATAAAGACTGTTCAACAAATTCTAACTGAAATTAGTTTTACTTTATCGACAGACAGACGGATAAATGTTTGTGTTTTTGTTTTTAGCAGCAAGAAATGCCAAAAGTATTATAAAAAAAAAAATGAAGAAATTTGTTTAAAAAAAAAATGAAGAAAATGAAAAAATTAATATCCTATTACGTTTTTACACAATATGCATATTTATGTATGTACGTTTTAATTCAAGGATTTTTGTTAAATGTTTCCTTTCTTTGAAATTTGTGTTTTGTGCGTGGTATTTTTTAATTAGTCGCATTGCAGAAATTGGCATTGTATTTGAAAACGAAAGCGAAAGTAAACAATGAAATCCAATCCATAGAAATTAAAAACAAACAAAAAAACGAAAAAAAAGAAAAGAAAAACAAATATAATAACAATAATAAGCTACGTACATAATTAAATACTATATATATATTTAAATATTTATGCTAATTAAAGCCATATTGGCAATATGCAGCAGCAGCAAATACATACAATTAATATACATACATACAATTCTAAACATACATATTTATAAATGCAATTATATAATTATGGCGCGCCCATTAAATCATAATATGATTAAGTAATCATCTTAACAACTACACAAAAAAAAAAATCTATTTGATATGCATTTTATATTTTTTACAAGCGAAAATATGAAACAAAAAAGAAGAAAAAGAGGGAGAAAAAAACATGCAACAAATGAAAGAAATGCACTTCAAATGTAAACACAACAATTCAATACACTATTTTATTATACTTACATACGGAGAATAATGAACTGATAAGCAAAGAGCAAGCAAGCGTAATTAAGTTTAAAATTAACAAACCAAGCAACAAACAAAACAAAACAAAACAAAAAAAAGGAAGTCTATGTAAAATCGCATATTCCGAGTGCGCCATAAATAATTTTTTGTAAACGCTAAGTAATATATACATATAGTTATAAATTGTAGCATGAAATATTACAAAGCAAACGCAAGCGAAAAAAATAATAATAAAAACAAAAACCAATCGTGAAAATAATAAAATCAAGTAATTTTCATTCAATTAGAAATGGGGAAATTTTTACCACACAAGCCAGAATTCCAATTGGAGTAAACGAGTCAAATTCAGTATATATATATATATATATATATATATATATATATGGTATTCAATTTATTGCTAAATATCTGCACTTCATTCACCTGTTTTATATTTGTTTTTAGTAAATATCAATTCGATTGCAAGCTATTTCCTGTCATAACAATTAGCAGCGCTAACGAGTAACGATTAATTTGAGATAATTGCATAACCGGAGCAAATTATGATACAATAACGGAAATTACAGTGAGAGCAATTTGCGATAAGGCAGCCGCCACACACAAACAGACAACTATACACTTAAAATAATTAGTGGGAGGAGCATGGGCGAGGGCGGTGTGGATCGGTGCGGTGCGGCAACCCTATTACAAAACTAACACACACACACACACACACGCACACAGTTGTTTCTCTTTTTTATGAACTAATAATGCAAATTGATTTAGCTGGTCCGACGGCAGTGTGGCACAGTCTTCAAATGCCAATATACGAGCAGAACACAAACACCACGAATATCATCACAATCATGAAGACGATGGCAAGCCAGGCGGGAATCGTGCCTGAAAAACAAAAAGAGAGAAATGTGTTTTCAATGGATTGAGTACTAGGATTGACTAAAGATTTATGTATGTTACTTACGCCGCTGGGGCAGACTGTGTATGCACACTTTATTGTCCACGGATATGGAGAGCACGGCGGCCTCCGTGTCGCTTGAAATGGGCGGTCCCTCCTCGTTGGTAATGGGCAGAAACTGCAGACCGGTCACAAACATCGAGTGAGCATGGGGAATGTGCAGCACACGCTGTTTACCAAGCACATAATTAGATTAACATTTCTGTATATAAATAGTTTCTATTTTCAACTATTAGCAAAAAAAATATGAGTTCGTCTGTCAGTCTGCATCTAGGCAAACTTGTCTCTGCGCTTGGAAACTATCCTAATCAAACTTTTAATGCAAATATGTACGCAAGTCTCATATTGAAAATCAAACTTATACTTAAAGATCGATTTATACAAAGATAGACTTTTTTTTGAGAGAGATCTGATTTAAAATTAGCAAAACAAAAAAACTTTCACCACAAAATGTAGAATTTTTGGTTGTTAAGGTCGTGATTAGTTGACGATAGTTTTGAGTTTACTATAAACTCATTAAAATAATAATGAAAAACCTGATAAACATCGATATAGTAGGAGTATATATAGAATATCTTCCATAATCGATCGATAAACAGATTCTTATTTGAGTTTCTTTGCGAGCATATTTTGCAAGCTTCTAAAATGTTGAGATGAATATATCAACTTCTTATCAAATAGAAATTATAAATTATCTTTTATCTGCCATCTATCTACCTTTTCAGTGTGCATTCAAGAGATTCGCTCACCTGCAGACTAAACGCTATGTACATGGATACGCTGCCCGAGAACATGGTGCCGATGGCCACAAATCTGCCATCGTCTCGAACGGCCAGCGAGGAGAGGCTCTCGTCGATGGGGACAGCGGTGCGTAGCTGCCCACTCGCACAGTCCCATTGCTGCAGATAGCCACGCTGCTTGCCCACCTTGCCCAGCGGATTGGTGATGGTGAACAGGCGGTAGTTGTCCTTGTGCGCCTCGACTGTGCCGTAGCGGCAACGCTTGAATAAGTATTTGGAACCCTCGGGCGTCTGCCATTGCAGCTTGTGATGCTGCTTGCCCGTGCTCAAGTCCCACACAATGCCCTGGGCATCCTTCGAGATGCTCACCACGTATTTGCAGTCGGGACTAAAGTCAACATCGTCGATTTCCTTTGTGTGCGCCGCCAGCTCTGCGCTCAGCTTCATCTGTGGAAAGCTCCAGACGCGCAGCTGGCCATCGGTGCCGCCCGTGGCCATCAGTCGCCCATTGCCGCTGATGCGCACCACACGCTGCAACGGCTCCGCGCTGCTCAGGAAATCCGTTTGCACCACATCCGCTGCCTGAATGTCGAAACGCAGACGCTGGAACTGCTTAAGTATATCCGCTGTGGTTGTGGGCTTGCTGCTGCTACTGTTGCTGTTGCCACCAGCGTGTCTATTGTGTCCATTGGGTAACGCCTCCACGCCAGAGTGGCCAGCTGCCCGTTGCCTCACGCCATTCTCATGTGGACGCTCCACGGGCGCCGGCTTCCTGTCGTCCTCGGCCTCAATGCGCGGCTGCACAAAATACATTTGGCAATGCGCCTCCTGGCCGGCGCACAAATAGGATCGTCTGTCACTGTTCCGCACGGCGAAATTCATGACCACATTGGCGCCCGTCTCGTGGCGCAGCACCTCCTCCGCACAGAAGTGGCTGCCATTGTGGTAAAGCTCATAGATTTCCTAAAGAAAAACAAACAAATCGTTTTTAGTTTGTGTGTATAAAAAGCTGTTTAAATAATAAGATTAGATGAGATAAAACTGGCAATTTATTGAGGATAAATATTTATAGATAAATTGTAGTGTAAGGCTTTTTTGTAGGTGTTTTTAGTAAATGAATTAAGATTGAAATTGACTACAATAGCTGTAGGAAACTAGAAATAACGAGTTAAATTGATTTTTAAGAAAACCTTGAAAATTGAGTGCAAATATTTAAATATATATAACTGGTGAGACAGGTTTTTTTTGCAGGTGTTTTTAAATTAAAATAGCTGCATTTTAGAGATTGCATCGCAGATGTGGGGAAATATAAATTTTAAAAAACCATGGAAACGGTCAGAAAATCGCAGAGAAAATGGAAGTTTAGTTTAAAGTTAACATGAGACTTGATACTATCAATTATTTTCGTTAATCATTATGCTTATTTTAGATGCGTATTAGATTGACCTATTTAACGATTGGAGGCACTTACAAATCCATTTGCAACGCCTGTTTTGCTGGAGCCGCCGCCGCCGGCAACGAGTATGTGGCGACTTGTGAGCATGTCCACCGCGTACAGGGGGAAATTGACGCGGGCCAGCAGGCCGTCGCTGGGCCTGCGTGTGGGTGCCATTATCAATAATGAATAATTATCGAGCGAGCGTTGTCTCTTTTTGTTGTTGTCGATGTTTTGCTCGGTTTTTTGTATAATTATATTTTTTATCAGCAAGTCTGAGTCAGGCGCATTTAATTGATTGACCGTTCGTTTTGTACAAAATATGAGGAAATTCGTTGCACTTGCAAGTCTTGTCTGTTGTGTCACTATTTAATCCTAAATGCCGTTGTGCATTGTTTACTATTTATACTACTAATATTGTTAATTTTCCATTTGTTTGCCGTGAGTCGGTGTCGTGAAAGTCATCTAAAATCCACGTACACTTGAACCGATTTGAGCATTCACTAAGCAGCGCAGCTGTTTGCCATTCACTGCGAAACGTGAATGACAGTGCTGTCAGTACAACTTATATTTTTAAAGATTAATTAATTATCCTTTTCTACGGTTTCTAATGTCCTCATATATCATATAAAACAAATTTGAGTGACGTTTGGAACGGCATTTATTCATTTGAAAATAAATATTTTGAATGGCATTCATAATTTTTTGGACAGCTGTTGCTTATTTCTATCGATAACTTTGAAGCTTAGTAATCATTCAAATATCGCAGCTTTATTGCGTTTGTAATTTGCTTGTTTTTATTCCCATAAAGTGGAATGACAAACATTTATTGAATAAAAAATCGTATCAGTAATATGGGCTCGACGGCTGATAAACCTCACAGTCCAAACGAAAGTAAAAAAGAAGGGCAAAACAAAAACAAAGGGCTCTTACCTTGTGCACCTTGTGTAAACAAACCGGTAACAGCTGTTATTTATTTGTCAGCATTGCGCGGAATTCTAAGGTGGCAACTCTGTAGTTCCATGCTATGACTCTGTGTATGCAGTAGTTTTCAGAAACAAGCATGCGAACGCAAATTATAAATGAAAGAGAGTGAAATATATTGAAAATCGAATCTGCATCAAAGTGCATTTCAAAGGGGAATATGATATATATATTTAAAATCAAACCAAATTGCACTTAATTTAAAAATGGAAATTTTGAATTTGAACTAGTTGATTTGAATGCATTTCATCTATAGATATAGTTGTCTTATATCGATATTAGCAGCTATCGAGCTGGAAACAGCCACAGAGAAATCGCAGTACTGTTTATGTTAATTTGCAGACATAAATAAAGCAGTTCTGTTTCGCTTATTTGACGAATATTCAAGTGCAATATATGTAATGGCTGAGAGACGAAGATTTCGCAAATTATCAGAGCTATCAAACAGCGATGAAGCAAATGATCCGCTGGAGCCACAACTTGAGATTAGGCCCACTAAAATTGAGCAGGATATAAGCAGCGACTATGAGAGCAATGATGAAGTGCAGCCGCAGTACAAAAGGACACGCATTGAGAAGGATCTGCCAAGGAAGTAAGTGAATTGTATAATTAAACAAAATCACTTGCAAAGATTTTGATTTTCAGCCAGCTTTTGCGTGTTAAATTAAGTGCTCTCTGAGCTCAAATTGGAGAAGCCCAAATTCCGTTAATATTTGAGGCAGTAATTTAAATACAAGTGTATACATAAGTCATATGAATATGTCTAATTAGATATTGAAGTCCATCCAGCGTGCTCCAATTTTAATCAATAATGAAAACGGAAAAGTTTTGCGTAAAGCGGAGCACGCACAAAATATTCGTTAGGCTTTCGGCGAATTGTGCTTTACAGATGCAGTGCTATAAAACGAGGCACAAAACTGAGCGAAAACTGTTTCATAAATTCATTATCTGTGGCAATGTTCAACACTGCTAGAGAGGTAGTTGAAAGAAAAATCAGAAAAATATAACTTAAGTATAACAATCTCCATATTTTAGTTAAATTATCACATATATCTTAACAACTTTCTATTGCAATAGACGCAAACATAAGAATCGCGATCAGTCCAATACTCTCATCACATTCATGGAGCAGAACCCGGAAATAGCCAAAGGACACGTGAAAGGCGAACGATTCGCCTTCGATGCGAAATGGTACACTTTGGTGGCGGATTTGAATGCCGATGGACCTCCGTGCAAAAGTGTAACAGCTTGGAGAAAAGTATTCAGGTTTGAGAGATTTAAATATTTAAATAAAAATGTATATTTATGCGTAGCTCTGGTCGGAATGGAAGATGAAAATCCGGAAGAAGCTGTTCCAAATGAAAAAGAATGCAGCTGGATTGGAAAGCGGTTGCCAGTCAGTTTTTTTGACGCCCGACGAGGAGTCCATTGCCCAATTGTGCGGCTTCTACGATAATGTGGAAATTGTTCAGTGTGACAAGTTCTTCGGTTGCTCTAAGGACAACGAAAAGCGTAAATCCCATGCTGAGAGTCGGAATTCTTCGAAAGTTGAATCTAATTCGCCGCCCAGTGAGGAAGCCATGTCTGAATTGTGCGGCTTCTATGAATCTGGCGACGATGCTGAGCATAAAACAAATATTAAAATGCCAAAGCAATCATCAACTAATTACAATGCTGACAAATTTGCTGACTTTGATCCGGATATCTTCGCAAGGAATCGCAAACGGCCTCGTGAAGCCGAATGTCTGCAAGAGTTTTGCAGTACGCAGAATGATTTGATGACCCGCGTAGCTGACACCTTGGACGCAATACGCTGCAACATGGCTGAGCAGACGAGTGTAATGCAGCAGCACTTCAAAAGAATGGAGGAAATCGAATTGAGAAAACTGGAGGCGATGAAAAGCTTTAGGAAATAGTATTCAATCTTAAGCTAAGACAAAAATGGTTATGGTATTATAAATTTAAAAAACATTTTAAATTATAAACTTCGCGCGCTACTGCTTCTTTTACTTATTGCCATTCGCTGCGCAGCTGCACTGATTGTTATCGATATATCGATATGTATATCTGCATAGCGAGTTGGCATGTCCAGTACAGCATAAAAGGCTTTCATTATTTACTGAGTGCTTGTTTATATTATTTGAATTAAATAAATGCGAATCAAGCCAAAGTTTATCAACAACAAATGGAGCTCACGACAATGCTAGACATGGCCAATGCGGTCGATGTAAGCCGAATCAAGATGGAGGCTGTGGACTGCAATGCTGCTGCTGCTGTTGCTGCTGCTCCTTTACATATTTTACCAGAGCAATTAAATTGGCAATTGGCGCAGAGCAGCACCGCCGCGGAATGCATCAAAATGGAGCAGGATCCGCGAGTAATCTGGCAGAGCAGCGAGGCGATGGCCAGTTGTCAAATGCAGCAGGAAGCGGAGGTAGTACGAAAATAATAGATTGCTCTTAAATACATAAATGAATTCAAGTTTTAATTCATTCTGTTTTTTTTTTTTTTAATTATTGCAATTTGGAATTTGATTGTTATGCAGCAATGGCAGCAGTGTCACAGTAATTATTCGATTATATAATTAAACAGAGTAACTTGTGTGCTCACAAACAGAACTTTTTCAGTCAACTCGCTAATTACCATCAATTATCATTACTGCAAAGCGTACAAATAAATGTGCAATATCCAATTACAAGTGTAAAGGGTATATTTGAAATACACTCTATTTAAGCAAAAACTATTCTATTTTAGTATATATCCGATTGTGATATGGACTTGAATGACTGTAATCGGCAACGGAAATATCCCGGAAAAAGGACTGCTGAAAATTCGCCAGCAAAACGTAAAAAGAAAATGAAATTGCCAGAAATATTTCGTTTTTTTGGCAATATCGAAAGAGTGAGTTAACCAATAATATATAATTTTAAATTATATTTGTAATTTCTTTATATTGCTTTCAGGTGCAGGACTCGAATGCCAAGCCGGGAGCGATAAGTGCCACTTGCAATGCATGCCACAGTCGCATCAAAGGCTTCGTCACAGTTACCTCCAATTTCATAAAGCATCTGCGTCTGAAGCACTTCGAGATCCATGCGGCATTCATCAGTGCCAAACAAGTCGGCAATACCGAAACGCTGGAAGTGCATGAGACCGAATCCTTTGACCACAGAGTCATGTCCTATATCATAGATAGTGCAGCGCCACTGTCTACCGTTGAGGAGCACAGCTTTCGCAATATGTTCAAGGGCACCAATTTGCGGGTGATGAGTCGCTCGAAACTGGAGTTGCGACTGGATGCACGCTTTGGGCAAATGTGTGAGAGCATTAAGAATGTGATTGCCACACACAAATATGTCTGCACATCGGCCGATATCTGGTCGCATAGGCATTGCAGCTACTTCGCCTACACCTGTCACTGGCTGGATCAAAAGTACCAACGGAAATCAACAGCATTGGCCTGCCGACGGTTTACGGGCGATTATGCTCAAATTGTGGAAATGATGAGTAGCATTAACACTGAATACGATTTAAACAATCTGAAAATTGTGGCAACAGTTACGCATAATGGCTCGAATTTTGCAAAAGTATTTCGCGAATTTGGCATACAAAATGACAATAGCTATGATGATGAAAGCGATTGCTGCCACGCGGATGTGGATGCTGCCTCAAAAGTCTTGGCTTACAACACTTTACCAAATCACATTCAATGCGCCAGCCACACTCTAAATTTGTTGGCATCAAGCGATTTTGTGCAACTCCTTGGCGAAGATAAAGCGTTAAGGGAGCGTCACTCAAAGGTATGCGAGAAAGCAACAATTATTTCTATATTTATTATTAAACAATTTTCTTTTTCTAGGTCTTTGCCAAATGCAGTGCGCTGTGGCGCAAATGCAATTGCCCCAAGTCAGCCGAGATCATTCAAACAGTATTGAGTGGAGGAGCGCTTATCGCACCCATTTCATCGCGTTGGAACTCCATATATGATGGCATTTGCTATATTCTCTCACATAAAGAGAAACTGGCTGAGCTCTGCAGCAAATTGGCGTTGCACAATTCGTGTTTCTCCGCGGGAGACATACAATATTTGGAGGAATATCGAACTCTGATGGCACCCATTGCATCCACGATTGAGTTTCTGCAAATGGAGACCAATTTGTACTATGGTTGCCTCATACCCGCCCTGACATCGCTGTGTGTTAAGCTGAAAAGGATTTCCGACTCCTCGGATCTCATCGATTTGCGCAATGTGGCACTTGAGCTGCAGCTGCGATTAAAGCAGCGTTTTGCGAAATATGTGCGACTTGCTGAGGATGCGAACAGTGCTATTATAGCCTCAGTTCTTTGCCCCACGGTTAAAATGCGTTGGTTCAATGCCCTGGCCAAAGTCTCGCCACATGAGCGCAGTGCTGATGATATACACAAGATGATTATTGCGGAGGCTGTGCGGCATGCCAAGGCTACCGAAAACAATTACCAAGTGTGCCAGGAATCCGCTCATTCCAAGGAAAAAGATGATTTCTATGAATTTGATGAAATTGGTATGGCCAGCAAAATCTATTTTTGACAATTATATAATATATATAAATACTATATAACTTACAGACGATGCTTGCGAGACGAGTGATTTGGATATGTCGCAGCCATCGCCGTTGCCGCCGACAACGAAACTGGTCGATGATGTTGAGGCCCAGTTTCACAGTTATCTGAGGGATTCGGGTAAATTTTTCGAGGTGCTGGACAAATATCCACTTCTCCATGATTTGGCAATAAAATATAATACGCCATTGGCTTCGTCGGCGCCAGTTGAACGCGTTTTATCGCTTGTGAATGTAAATAGATATGCCAGAAGATCAGATCTCTCCGATTACTCAGTGGAAAAACTAGTTTTACTAAAAGCTAATTGTACTGATTGAACCCTAATTAAGTAATTATTAGTATTGTAAGCGACTAAGGTAACGGATGTATTAATAAACTTAGTTGTATGTGCAATAAATAATATAATATATAAAGTTAAGGAAAATATATATGTAAGAAATGGAAATTGAATTGATTTGAGTTCATAATTTTAAATAAAACATATATGGATATATATAAGGTATTAATATGCTCTTTTGAGTATTTAATAGTAATAAATGATAAAAATACATCTCAAGTAAATGTAATTTATAGCCAAAATTGCAATTCTAAAAAATAAGGGCATTTAAAATTTCGCAGAAAACAAACCAGTTTTAATAATTTGCTGCTTCTTTTGCTGGCTTTTGCCATTCGCAGGAAAATTCAGGAAAATTGTACGCAAAGTTGAAATTGTTGCGCTTGCTTACAGTTTACAAGCTAAATGAATAATAAAAAGCATTAAATGTCGCCGAAATTGGAGGACTGCAACAGTCACAAAAGAAGAATAAATTGAAAAATTAGTTTAAAAATTAATTTATCTTAATGCTTTTTACTTTTTCCAGTAATGCATAAAAACTACTGAAATGATTCCAATATACTTATTTTGACTTATAATTTACTTTTTCCTAGAATTTAATTAAAAGAAATTAGAGTTGGATTAGTTCACAATGAATGAAATTGATTTATTAGTATTATAACGAAAAATAATAAACTTTGTACGGTATCCCTGAAAGTAGACTTTTATTTCTGAAGTAGACTTAAGTCAACCAGTAAATACATCGCCGTTGGAACACTTGAAATGAAATTTGTGTTGGGATGCCCAATTCCCTAATAATGAGAACTGATAAAAACTATTAATTTTCCGGCTTGTAAAGACCAATCAGATACTGAGTAAGACATTAATCAAAATTTCCCTTTTAAGAATTATTGTTATTATACTAATATAAATACATTTTTCTAATTTTTCATTTGTGTACATGTTGAAACCACTTAAATATTAAAATTTGTTTACAGTTTTGAATATAATCTTTCCAATTACTTAAAGCGCTTTACATTTTTTTTTTTAATTTCTTTAAATTTCTTTCTTTTTAGAATACAATAATTTGGATCAAGTTCAGGTTCGTCTTTGCTAAATAATTATTTAATAAATTAATGATTGAAAGTACTAAAAAAGGATACCATAAATGGAATACAAATTCAAATACACTTGCCAAATGTCTTAGGATTTGGCGCGCACTGGAAATAAAGATAAACTGGGTTCTTAAAAAATATACTTGGATTATATGTCATCATATATATATTTATGTATATTTATCATAAAATGCTTTTAGAGAGCAATTCGATTGAAACGGTGATTTATTATCTTATATGCAATATTCGCATTCTGTTCGATTGCAGGACACCAGAGCAGACGTTAGATGACGTAAAAAAGAAACCCGGATGGAAACAAAGAGCTTTTGCTTTGAGCGACTGCCAACCAACCCAATAAGGCGCAGCAGCAGCAGCAGTCGCTGCTTTTTGCTCTCTGCTGTTGCTGTTGGGTGCCAATTTTGAATGCCAGCAGCGCACTTTGTCGCTGAATGTCAATTATCGTTTTTATTGCCGCCCCATTCGTTGTTATTGTTGCTGTTTCATTGTGAATCAGCTGCTGGCAGCAACTGCGGGCAGCATCTTTGTTTCAAGCTGCGCTTTGCTTTCTGCTTTTGTTCAACCGCAAATGGTTAAAATGTGGGAGGGGAACAAAGACACGCTTAAAACTTGCCTCCCTCCTCTGTTGTTGCTGTTTGACGCCGGCGTCGGACGATGTAATTAATAAAAATAAAAATAAAAATGCTAAGACGCAAATTCAAAAACGAATGCATGTTATTTATTTTTTATGACGGTCAAGTGAAAATGAAAATTGTCGCGCAATTTGTTAGACGCCCCATTGATAACGTTTGTCTACGCACCTAAACGTGTTTAAGCTACTTACTGACCCCCACTCCCCCCCTTTCGTTCGGTCATAGACAAGTTTAACAGCAATTCGATCAAAATTTCACTTTTTATGTGAACTCAATTTGATTTACTATAAATACAAACACACATACATATACATACATGTATATAATTTTGAATAAAATTGCAATTGAGATGACCTGTTAGCTTCTAATGAAAAGAAAGGTAAATGAGTTGAGCTGGAAAATTTCGTTGACTTTTTGTTTAATCTTTAGCGTGGTTCTCAGCTTATTAAGTACATTTGAGTTCATTGCACCTGACTGTCAATGATACATACTATATACATACATACATATATTTTAAGTGTATACATATTTATACATTTCTCATAGAAGTAAATGTTATCTCTGTGAGCGCTTTGCTATTTTCTTGATTTATAGCTAGGCTCTGTTGAAGTTGCTGGCTGCATTTGCCGATAAGTAAAAATCACAAAAAGCCACTCAATTTTATGGCCTGAGAGAATCTACCGTTTGCCGACTCAAACAGTTGCAATATGCGTGTGTGTGTTCTACTCGGTGCCGGTATAAATCTAAGCGATGATTTCATTACAATAACAAATAATAAGAATAACAAAGAAATGTACCAATTGCGCTATGCCTGATTTTTGCCTGACCTGCCGAAAATGATGCTCATCACCTCAACTCTCTCTCTCTTTCTCTCTCTGCTCCAGGCAACCAGTTTGAGCTAAAAACCGTTTCAATTTGAAATTGCCATTTGAATTTTAACCGCTTGAGCTGAACAGCACATGTGTGCAATAGTAGCTGTCATTTCACTCGCACTTGTGTGCAAAACAAAGCCACGCCGTCTGAAGCAGCTTCCCTTTGCTCAAAACAACAAACAACAACAACAACGAGCAAAGCACAGCTGTCGACGCTGCACAGTGGAGCACAGTCCATATATATATATATAATTTTAAGAAAATTTTTTACGATATATTTTGAATAACTGGCATAAAGTTTCTAAATGAAAAATGTTTATTTAACATGACCACTGTAATAATTTTGCAATTAAATGAAAGTTTATCTTTATCGTATATTTTTTCAACGTAAACCACTGTGTCGCCTCTTGCGATCGACTACAAAACAAAATCGTCAGCGCTTTGGCCGCTCAGTCGTTAAATTTCCATCGACACGATCGTTACAGAGCGCTGAGCGCAGTGATAAATAAATTGTAACATTTTCAGTGTATATCAACTTTGTGTGGATATTTCCTGCCCAATTTTTTTGGTAAGTGCAGCAGAAGCAACTTCAAACTGAAAACTGGAAAGAGTTTTATCCGGTTCACATTAGGCCCTTTTTCCATCTCACATATGACTAATTTTATACGGTTATTATTTATTGCTGCCCTGTGCACAACGTTAACTTCTATTTCTGCTCACAATTGCAATTGCAAAATTACAGTTCCAATAGCAATATCAACAACAAAAACAACAACAGCTGCAATACAGAGGCGCAATAATTTTGTGCTTTTTCCCTCTTTGCTTTCCCTGTGTTGTTGCTGCCCGACATCAGCCGCTGCTTTTCCTTTTCCTTTCGCCTACGCTTTGCTGCCTATTTGCAGTGCCTGACGCTGCTATTGCAATTCTTGTCATTGTTGTTGTTGTGGCTGGTTTAGTTGCTCTTTTTTACTTTGAAGTAATGAGCAACTGCTTGTTATACACACACACACACACGTACACATTCATACATACGGAGCTGCTGCTGTAACGGCCTGTCACTCTGCTTATTGGCATTGCTCTTTGTTTGCTGTTCCTGCTCTGTGTTCTGCAAGGGCGTCTTTCTCGCAGTGGAGTGTTTTATGCATTTCGCTTGTGGCCTGTGGGCACTTTTCGTCGTAACGGAGCAACAAACTGCGATCTCGAAGAGTAAACTAGCAACGAGGGCTGCTCATAAAGTACTTGACTTGCTGCACATCTCGATGCGCAATAAAAAATGTCGACCGCGTCTCTTTCAATTAGTCATCTGTGAGAACACTTGATATGACAATATTTAATGTAGATTAATGTAGAATGAACAAGTTTTTTTTTTGTAGATAAGACAACTATTATATAGAAGGTAAAGGCAATTAGAAAATAACTGTTATAATTTGTACGTAGTACATTTTGTTACATATAAGTTTGTATATACATATATTTTATTTTTATATATATATATTATTTTTATATTTATATTTTATTTTTATATTTATATATTATTTTTATATTTATATTTTTATTTTTATATATATATTTTATGTTGTTTTAACCGAGAGTCTGTAAAGACGAAAGAAGAAATTGCAGAAATAAAAAGTATATTTAAATTATTTTCTTTAAGCACTTTAATTTCATATCTATATTAATTTCTAGTTGCTTTATTTTATTATTTTTTATTTATTAATTTACATTTGCAGTAACAACTTGAAAGTATTTGTTCGTCCATAACACCCCCCTAAAAACAGTCAACAAAAATGGTGAACAACACTGTTGAAACCGAAGGTAAGTTTTTAAGTACTTAAATCTTTGCCATAATTCTTAAAAAATGTTTTAGCTTAAATTCTCCTTTTGTATCTGTAATATATATATTTTGTTTGTTTTTTATTTGGGTTTTACTGTTAGCTGAACATTTGTTTGTGTATCTTTTACGTTTCGGTTTGTTATTGTTGCACTGCTCATTTATAGTGCGGGCGGGCACAAAAGCTGCCACGCCTCGTTGCGTTGCAGATGGGAATTGTTGTTGCTGCTTTAGTTTGCATTTGCATAGCAATCATATAAAAAATGCATGGCAAATAAAATGAAATTCATGCAGAGAGCATTGTTGTTTGTGGCACGGTAAAGTATCTGTTGGATACAAAATGCTAAAGCGAAACGTTGGCGCCGTAGTCGTGTTGAATGCAACTGCTGCATTTGCAGCTTTGCCACTGTTGCTGCTGTTGCTGCTGCTGCTGCAAGTCGAGTGGCATAGATTACGCGCTATTGTAGCCTAAATACGTTGAGTGCGCATCCAGCAGATACTCGGCTATGACTACAAACTACAAGTAACTTGAAAGCGTTGTTGTTGTTGCCTCGCTCGCATAAAGTTGCAACAGTAGACTAACCAACTACACCCCCCCTCCCCCTTGCACCACCTGCCTCGCCTCTCTCTAGGTCCCCTTAAGCTGCGCAGCTATTGTGACAATTTTATTGGAAATTACATGAAGTGTTTAGCAGGGTTTCTTCTGCTGCTGCTGCTGTTGCTGCTGCCGCTGCCTGGGTGGGTGGGGTTTCTGCCGCTCGTATTATAATCTCGACGTTCCTTTCGCTCGCACAAAAGAGCCTGCATTATGATATTGCATAAAATATGCACAGATTTGCAGTAAATTTGATGCAAATGGCGTTGTCGTTGCACGTAGAGTTTAGCATGGAACATGCAACATTTCGTTGTCTATCGAAATATAGTTGAAAGTATCTACAAGATACTTACCGAACAACTACTTATGGGATCGACTTAGTTTTGTATTAAGTTAGTAAAGATTTTTAAAAGTTGCTTGAAGTTTTTGAGCTTGCCATATGAAATACTTTGAATATTCATAGCTGTTGGCTTATATATAATTATATATATTACTTCAAAAGTATCTTTACAGATACAATACCTACGTAGTGCTAATATCACATAAGCCAAATACTTTCACTTTTTTTGTTCAGCTATGTTAGACTTCCATCGGAGCTGCCCTTACTTGTGTGTATCTATAAGATGAATTTACTGCCACCTACAAATTATGGAGTATTAAAGTCGGTGCCACAACCTTTTGGGCGCCGCCCTTGGCCCAACGGTCCTTTTGGGCTAGTCGGCCTTCCAATGCGCCGCTATCTTTTGCAAGTTGCAAGTCATGACAAATTGTTGGCAAATTGCTTGGCATTTGTTGCTGCCTGCTGCCAGTTGCCTGCCATGGGTTGTTGCACTCTGTGGTTGCTGCCGCCGTTGTGGTTGTTGTTGTTGTTGCTGTTGTTGCTTTTAATGCACTCAACATGCTCGTTAGTTGTTAGTTTGACTTCGAGTTTGAGTTTTTTCGATAATGGCAGGCAAATCGGATCTGGCTGACAATTCCGCTACCGGTTGAAATACCTAAGTCAGAGCAATCCAATCCAAGCAAGCAATCTATTCAGCCATCGAGTAGATGCTGACTACTATTTGATTAAACTATTCGCATTGATTGTCAAGTTCGGCTAGAAACTAAACTACCGTTGAAACTAACTGATTGCCTTGGGGAGTGGAAGTTTTGCACAGGTTCTCAATTTTCCAATGCGAGAGCAAAATAAATTTGTTGCGGAATTTATGGTAGTCTGTTTGTTTGCCACAGTTGAAAGTTGCTGCTGCTGCTGCTGTTGCAGTTCATTTCGAGTAGTCAGGCAAACAGATATATAGATGCTCTCATCTCCAATGAACAAATACTTTGAAACTTCTTTTTTTTTTGCTGCAGCTGCTCAATTGTGGCTCTACTTGAATTTGATTCGAATTGATTTGGCAAGTTTTGAAATGGGTCAGCGCACAGCAAAAGTGTTGCATCCCTTAAGCGGGTGTCGTCACGAGACTCTATTAAGATGACAATGCACCGATAAGCTGCTTAAATGCACCTGGAGTGGGACTACAGATGCAGTTTCCAATGCTGTTCCTTTATTCTTGTGATGCGATGCAAGGATTTCACTTATAAACAAGTGTAAAGCACTGGCAAGATTGTGAAGTGAAGTGCATTTTAGTTTAAATTTAGAATGCCACTTCAGTACGTATCGGTGCACTTAATCCAATTTTGTAAGATTTATATATAAACTGCATTTATGCTCGTGTAGCTTTTCAATTCTATTCACCGCCTAGAGAAAAGTATTTGTTTGTTTATTTATTTATTCGGTTGAGTTCGGCTTATAAAGGCTAAAATTAAGATTAAAATTTGAACAATTCTATATATTGTTGAATAAATATTCAGGTTCCGTTTTACACATTCGATTAGCGATTCCGTTTTGGAATTTAGCCTGGCTTAAATAAAAGTTAAGAGTCTAATCTGATCAATACTACGTTTGACTGTGAAAGAGTTGATCGGCCTGCATTTTGGGGGCGGGCTTCTTGGTCATGCCGGCGAGCAATTGCTTCAGCTTTATGATGGCTTGGGCGGGATTCAAATTCTTGGGACAGGTGTTGGTGCAGTTGAGGATGGTGTGGCAGCGATAGACCTTAAATGGATCCGTTAGCATGCACAGACGATGATCGGTGGCCTCGTCCCGTGAGTCGATAATCCAGCGATATGCCTGCAGTAGAATGGCCGGTCCCAGATACTTGTCACTGTTCCACCAGTACGATGGACACGCGGTCTGACAGCAGGCACACAGGATGCACTCGTAGAGGCCATCGAGTCTGTCGCGATCCTCAATGGCTTGCAGATACTGCGCCTTGCCCACTTCCCTGTTGACGTCCTTGCGCTGAAGCCACGGCTCAATGGATTGATACTGCTGATAGAATCTAGACAAATCCGGTACGAGATCACGCTTCACATACAGGTGCGGCAGTGGATAGATCCGGCATACCCTGCCCGGCTTCCTATCGATCGCCTGGATGCAGGACAACGTGTTCAGCCCGTTGATATTCATCGCACACGAGCCGCAGACGCCCTCACGGCACGAACGGCGAAACGTGAGCGTCGGATCCATTTCGTTTTTGATCTTGATGAGGGCGTCCAAGATCATGGGACCACACTCATTCATATCTATCTCGTATTTCTGCAGTTTTGGCTTATCGCCAGGCTTCCAGCGATATATTTCAAAGGTTTTCATACTCCGCTCTGTGGGTCTTGGCTTTGAGGCCTTCATCTCCACCTTGCATGTTGCTTGCTCCGGCGTATCCATTTTCTTTTCCTTGTCGCAATCTTTGCTCTTGCTGTAAACCACATTCCCATTCCCCTGGTGCGGCTCCTCATTAACCAGCTCCAAGTTGGGCAACGCGGTTGCAATCACATTTGTCCTTACCACAATACTACTCCGCATTGCCAGCTGAAGGCAGCGGGAGCGCAATCCAAGTCGATGCATTCTAGTCCCTAAATTAACACAAAAATATTATTTTTAACTATTTGTTTTTTTATATGTTTGATTAAACTTGTATTCATCACTTCTACACTTATATGTATATATAAATATAGTCTCTAAGAATTTGAGCCACAAACACAATGCAAACTTGTTGATTAAAATTTCTTAAAATATAAAGAAATTTAAAGAATTTTGTTAAAATTATTAAATGCAGATTGATAAAACACAACACAACATATAAAATGCTTCTCAATCTTGAGAACTAAATTTCCCTTTAAAAACCCGTTTATTATTAATATTTGTCTGTAAGTCAGATTGCTTGATTTTTTCTTTCAATGTTAAATATATTGTAGTATATAATTTAAGAAAAAAGTTTGTAAGCAATGCTAAAAGAAACATTTTTAATATTAATATTTTAACAATATTTTTATATTTAAATAAATATTGGTTGAAAATCTACCTGCAGCACAAAGATACGATAAATAAATAAATATCAATCAACATCAATATCAATAAAGTTGACGCGATGCACTAACAGCTATTCATGGCTTTCACACACAGATTGCTTTGTGAAATTTTCATTCGTTTCACTTCACGGCAGTGACAACAAGTGACAGGTCACAGTTACTGGCGCAGCGCAGTCTTGGGCTATTTTATGCCTGCCGCAGACTCTATTTAAATTATGCATGAGCGCCCGTAAGTAGGCAACGCTTTCTACGTGTGGCACGTAGAACTCCTGAATTTATTATTGTCTACCAACACCTCCCATATGGTAATTTATTGCACGCCCCAAACGCTTGGGCGGCATAATGATTGCAGTCGTTGACAAAGTTTTCCCATTGTAGGACAACCAGCGATAATCACGTGTAAATTACTCAGCACAGAACCCTTGGGTGGGAAGCAAGGATTTGCCAGCGACGCCTCGCAAAATTTTCCCTGTTTTCTTTATCAATGCTTTATGTAGCAAGTTTTCAATTTGTCTCGTTATTTGGGATTGAACGCTTATTAAAAAATCATATCGTTATGCGAGTCACAAATAAGTTGGAAATGGGTCGCACATTGCTGCAACTTTTTGAGTGTTTAATAATTTTATGAGCGTAGACTGCCAAATTGGTCAGGCTTTTAGCGTAGCTTTTGTTGTGAAGGGTGAAACAAATAAATCAAAAATATAAGTTCAATACAGAGCAGTCTAGTCGAAAGACCTCGACGAGGAGCTGCAGTGAACCCTACTCCTCAGGAATCAATAGAAAATACATTTGGTAAATATGAATATAAGATTTCTATCGATCTTAATTAAATTTAAACAGACAAACAATATTAGGTCAAAGTATATACACACTCGATTAGAAAGAAAGATCTTTAAAACTATTGCTTTTATTACTATCGATTTTTATCGATATATTGTCGGAAGTGGGAAATAAACTATAAAACCTGTGAAGGAGTTATAAAAAATGTATACTATTTTAGCAGATTATTTCTATATAAGACTTGTAATCATCGTCGTATTTTATTTTTCTCTCTTGATGTTATGATATAATCAACAATATAAAATATTTGTTATAAATATAATGCTAAGCTTAGTTTGCCATTTCTACATATTAAAGTGTAAATTGTAAGACAGCTCAGCAATAAAGGCTTGCAGCGCTTTAACCAGTTGCGAATTATTATCGCCTCCTTATCGACTATCCAAATATTTACTGTTGGCTTCGCATTTTTATGCCGCCGCTGTTGATGTATTGGTTTCAGCTGCTGTTTACTACATTGACGTGGTTAGCTCGCCAAACTAGCGGCAGTAATCACAAAAGTTTACAGCTTATAAAAAGGTAAACTTTGAGATTTATGTTAAAGCTGCTCATTAAAAAACCAACCTGCTTTACTTACCACCACTCACTAGGAAACATTTGCGAATTTTAAAGTACGAAATACGCACAAGCTGTTAAAATCCAGTTTAAAGCTGTGAAGCATACAAATCGCATTAGAGAATATCTGTGTGTGTGAGTGTGTGTGGGATGTAGCCAACTATTCTTTGTAGTAGTATGTATTGTATATATTACGTATTTTGGATTTCGCATCTTGCTTACTACAGATACACACGCATACCTAGTACAACAAGAGCATAAATTGAATTACTTTTTGGGGTAGTACTTGTATGAATACGACTTTTTTGTTCAACTCAACTCAACTCGACGACAAGTCCTACAAATGCAACACCAGTAAGTATAAATGTTTAAATTGTAATTGCTTAACTACAGAATACCCTGTTAAATTATTAATAAATAGCAGTTATAACCCAGTGAAATTAAAAGTGCTAAAGCTTTGAAGAAGTATAGAAAAAATAGAAAATAACATACATATTTGAAGTCTTTTCAAATCCAATTTTTAATATAAATAATCTAATCTTAATCTAATAAAGCACAAGTTTTGCCTTAAATAATCCTTAGCCATACAAGTTAAGGTATTAATTATATATTTTCATTTCAGCATCAATCCTTGACTATGTTTTATCTTCAATAAAGACGTGGTGTTGCTTGACTAAATATATTTATATATTAAATTAAGATATTTCTTCTTGAAGAAATTCTACTTTTGTAAAAAACCTCTCACTTCAAAAGCTGTACCCCTTTGTAATTCTTAAATAAAGCATTTTTTCCTACGAGTTTAAATTGAATTCTCTTCGCATGGTATCCTCCATGCATCAGTATAAAAGGGTATAAAAGGAAGAAGAAGCGTAGGACAAGATCTAGGCAAGTACATGCTTTTATATGTAATATGTCTTTGTGGGTGTGTACATATTTATATACCCATAGTTGTATAAATAATTATCTATTCCGGTCATGTCAGGCCAAAGAGAGCAACATAGGGACAGAGACGGAGACAGATACAGAGAGAGAGAGAGAGATGGAGAGTGGAGAAAGAGGAACGCACAAAATGTCAACGTCGTCTCAGTGTCGTCGCAAACATGTCGCCGTCAAGTGAGAGAACATTTACGGTACTCTGTACGCGAAAGTGCGAAAGAGATGGCTGCAAAGGATGCACGAGAAGAACTCATTTGCAATGCTCAACGCATCTTCAGAGTGAAACACGATTGGATAAGGGCCGAAGGGGGGGAGTGTGGGGATGACTACAGTGAAGGAAGTTGTGCTTTGCAGTTTTGCAATTTCTAATTACGTCTTCGCAGCAGCAGCAGCAGCAGCAACAGCAGCAGCAAGTGACTTTTTGAGGTTAGGCACGAGTCTCAAGCCGCATACAAAATAATAAAACAAATAAAGCAAAATAATACAAAATAAAAGCAAACAAAAGTAAACATGCACAAGTATTTCAGCATCATTTGCTGTTTTTTAGGTCTTTGGGTAAATGGTCGGCAGGGGGGGGCCCTGGACTTGTATTTTATTTGCAAAGTTTGTTGGCCCATTCCACCCCATTCCACCCCTTCACCCAACACCCACCAACCGTAACTGCAGCAACTGGTTGCCGCGTTGTGTCGAAGTTGCCGGTCTAACTTTGATTACGGTCCCCAGTTGTAGACATGCTCAGACAATCAACAGATTTCTTGCTTATTATGCGACAGCCTCCAGGAATAAATTGCTGCTACTCCCCCCTTACTCCCCTCCGCGCCCCGCCCTTAGCATATGTGTGCGTAAAAAATTCCATTAGTGCCAACTCCCAAGTGTTTTATGTATGTACGTGGCATATATGTATGTACATACATACATACGGATATATACGCCTATATACTTGTCTGCATTAGTAGATAGATGCTTGTATTTTATTGTACATCTTAAGAGCTAACAGCACCCGTCACCCGCAGCTTACCGTTACTCTTATACACTTTCCCGGGGTATTTTCAATTTAATATACAATTTTGAACATTTCTAACCCCTGAGGTTATTTAAATAAAACCTTGAATACAAGTTTTATTACACTTTCATTATTACCAGGAACCATAGGAAATATCGAAACATCTTTTTTCGTATTGTAAATATCTAGGTAAAACTTTCGTGAAAAGAGATAAAATCTTATTAGCATCTCATATCTTGAATAGATTGATATTGCCAAGTTTTATCCTCACACCTAAACAATCGATCAAGAATTGACTTCTTCATTAGTAAAATATCCATATCAAACTCTACAGAAAAGAGCTTTAAAATATTAGAATTTATTAACATCTCAATTCTACATCAATATGAAGAATTGATTCAAAATTTATTCAATTAATATAAAGAAAATATAAACATTGATGAGCTATATCTTGATATAGGAACAATCGTAATGTTTTTGTTTCGATTTTTGAAATATCCAAATTAAATTCTGCAGAAAAAAACGTTATTATATATTATGTGAGGAAATTCAATCAATTAATTTATCGATAACATTATATTGCTCTGCAAGAGTGTTTATTATTCGATATTCCATCTATTTGTTTGTGATTCGAAATTATAATGAGGTTCATTATTAACACAAGATAAACGCTACGTGTCGAGATTCAGTAAAAACGATTTTCTCCTTTTGTGACTTTATTTTTTCTTTGTTCCTTTGTAAACGAATTCCAGCATCGCATTTATTTGGGTCAAATGTGAAAATTGCCGTGAGTTTTGCTTTTGTACGTGTGTATGTCTTATAATGACAAGTAGATTAGGTGGATATACTTATAGGATACGGGATTATAGGGATGGGAGCTTGTCATACCGACTAGTACTCCAGGTAATCCTCACTGCAAACTTACTTTTTTTGTTTTTTTTGTGTATGCCTTGAGTTTTTTTATTTCGCTTTAGTTTCTGCTCCAGATAAAGCCTTGACCCAGTCCAACTGAATCCCTCCTTTTGCCTAATGGCCAATTAATGACAATAAAAGAAAAGCAAAAACGAAAAATCAATGTCCATAAATGTTGAAACCATAAACACGACAGCAGCCGTTGCCAATGCCAACAGCAACAACAAAAATAGCGAACTGCAATCAAACGGTCATAAATTGCCCGCAAATATCGTAAAGTCCTTCTGGGCTCCAAATTTCAGACCCCTTCGCCCGCTCTGCCCCGG